TTTTATCAGCTGTTTGAACTCTCATTCTGACGGCACCCATTCACTGCAGACGATCCATTGGTAAGCAAGAGATTTAATGCTAAATTTCTTCAAATCAGTTCACATGAAGAAACAAACTCATCTACATCTTGGATGGCCTGAGTAAATTTTCAGCAAATTTTTGTTTTGGGTGAACTCATCTTTTAAAATAAGTTTATCTGATCTCAAATTTCTTAGAGCTCATTATGTGGTTTATTTGTTACTCTAAATCAAAAAAAAATTTATGGATACATAACAGACATGACTGTTGCACTTTGTCATCTGAGTTACATTCACCTGAGTGGAACACAGGCACTTGGAAAGGGAAAGGGAATTCTTTGGCATTCTAATGATCTGTCCCTTAATAACAACAGCTAAATGTCCTCATTAAAATGATAAATGCTTGCTTTTAGCCAGAGGTTTACAGTTGTGTGGGTGTGATGAGAGGGAGTTAAGACAGACCCTAGGGTGCGGTTTTGGAGTAAACACAGTATTCCGCCAGTATTCCAGCTGGCTTGGGTACTTGGAAATCCGTGTGGAGCTGAGGGTGAAATGAGGGACACAGTGAAAGCTTGCGCACTGTCTGAAAGCCCTGGGCTAATGAGCTGAACTTTGAAGGATCCTTTTTTAAACGGCACGGAAGGAGTAGATGTATTGGTAGCCTGGAAGAGAAGTTTACAGTGTATTTAAATTGTTCTCTTTGACAGTCTCTCGGTTAAGGTGTGTGAGAGCTGTACGAGTTTCTTCTGTTGAGAACAAAAGAAGATATTTTGAAGAATGTTGGTAACCAAGTTGATGGTAGCCATTGACTTTCATAATATGGAATTACCAGCATTCTTTAAAATATATTATTTTTCAAAAGAAGAAAGAAACTCATGCAGGTTTGGAACAAGTGGAGGGTGAGTAAATGACAAGAGAATGTTCATTTTTGGGTGAACTATGCCTTTAAATTTCTTTGATTTCAGACCCACTTCACGTCCCTGCGACGCAAAACTCAAAATGCATGCCTTTATTGTGAGTTCAGAAGTATGTGCATTAATTAAAAAGTTTCCATTATAGAGTAAATTGTCAGGAACGATTAAACAGAAGGAAAAGATGGTCGATTTTGATGTCCTTCTGGGAGTGAGCGTTAATGGGCAACTAGCACTCGTAACGTCGGACTAAAAGGGTTTCGGATATTGAAATGGGAATCTTCCAGACAGAGGGAGGAGGAGGTGCTTTCAGATTTCAAGGTGAATGGAGGGACGGACAGAATGAGAGTCGGGGACTGACAGCAAGACGGAGGGAGATGTTTTCACCTGCCATTTTACGAGGTGGAAATGACTCTAAAAATCAGTTCACTCGTGCAGTGAAGCACCGACTTCCTCCTCCTGGTGCAGGTACGGCTAGATTAACTGGGTTTGTCTGGAGAGGGCCTTTGGTGCGTGGGCTGTATGCGTCACACATGCGATCCCCGGTGGTCTGACAGCAGCTCCACAGGGACGGCCTGTCGGACTGACGATTATAAGCTAACGATAAACACAGCAGCTCTCAGCTGAGCTGGGGAGCGCGGAGGCGCGCGCTAAAATGAGCTGACAGGTGCGTGCGTGCGTGGTGCGCCCACGCCATTCGCTCTTTGAAAGAGCTCCAGCTAGACCCATAAAACAAAGACAGGTAATGCGGAATGATTCACATCCACAATAAAAGGGAAGTTCAGCATCAGATTAGAGCGGCCCAGGCAATATGTTCTATCATATTTTTCAAAGGAATCTCCTGATTCAGACAAGACAACTTTTTTTTACAGGAAAAAGCTATATTATGGATTAAGGACTCATATTTTAGCTGGAAGCAAGGGTTTGAAGTTAAAAAAGGTCTTAATGATGAAGTTGTTTCTGACAAACGTGCGGCTTTTCACTTCACAAGACGTTAATTGATGGACTGGAGTCATGTGGAGTACTTGTGGATTATTGTGATGCTTTTATCAGCTGTTTGAACTCTCATTCTGACGGCACCCATTCACTGCAGACGATCCATTGGTAAGCAAGAGATTTAATGCTAAATTTCTTCAAATCAGTTCACATGAAGAAACAAACTCATCTACATCTTGGATGGCCTGAGTAAATTTTCAGCAAATTTTTGTTTTGGGTGAACTCATCTTTTAAAATAAGTTTATCTGATCTCAAATTTCTTAGAGCTCATTATGTGGTTTATTTGTTACTCTAAATCAAAAAAAAATTTATGGATACATAACAGACATGACTGTTGCACTTTGTCATCTGAGTTACATTCACCTGAGTGGAACACAGGCACTTGGAAAGGGAAAGGGAATTCTTTGGCATTCTAATGATCTGTCCCTTAATAACAACAGCTAAATGTCCTCATTAAAATGATAAATGCTTGCTTTTAGCCAGAGGTTTACAGTTGTGTGGGTGTGATGAGAGGGAGTTAAGACAGACCCTAGGGTGCGGTTTTGGAGTAAACACAGTATTCCGCCAGTATTCCAGCTGGCTTGGGTACTTGGAAATCCGTGTGGAGCTGAGGGTGAAATGAGGGACACAGTGAAAGCTTGCGCACTGTCTGAAAGCCCTGGGCTAATGAGCTGAACTTTGAAGGATCCTTTTTTAAACGGCACGGAAGGAGTAGATGTATTGGTAGCCTGGAAGAGAAGTTTACAGTGTATTTAAATTGTTCTCTTTGACAGTCTCTCGGTTAAGGTGTGTGAGAGCTGTACGAGTTTCTTCTGTTGAGAACAAAAGAAGATATTTTGAAGAATGTTGGTAACCAAGTTGATGGTAGCCATTGACTTTCATAATATGGAATTACCAGCATTCTTTAAAATATATTATTTTTCAAAAGAAGAAAGAAACTCATGCAGGTTTGGAACAAGTGGAGGGTGAGTAAATGACAAGAGAATGTTCATTTTTGGGTGAACTATGCCTTTAAATTTCTTTGATTTCAGACCCACTTCACGTCCCTGCGACGCAAAACTCAAAATGCATGCCTTTATTGTGAGTTCAGAAGTATGTGCATTAATTAAAAAGTTTCCATTATAGAGTAAATTGTCAGGAACGATTAAACAGAAGGAAAAGATGGTCGATTTTGATGTCCTTCTGGGAGTGAGCGTTAATGGGCAACTAGCACTCGTAACGTCGGACTAAAAGGGTTTCGGATATTGAAATGGGAATCTTCCAGACAGAGGGAGGAGGAGGTGCTTTCAGATTTCAAGGTGAATGGAGGGACGGACAGAATGAGAGTCGGGGACTGACAGCAAGACGGAGGGAGATGTTTTCACCTGCCATTTTACGAGGTGGAAATGACTCTAAAAATCAGTTCACTCGTGCAGTGAAGCACCGACTTCCTCCTCCTGGTGCAGTTACGGCTAGATTAACTGGGTTTGTCTGGAGAGGGCCTTTGGTGCGTGGGCTGTATGCGTCACACATGCGATCCCCGGTGGTCTGACAGCAGCTCCACAGGGACGGCCTGTCGGATTGACGATTATAAGCTAACGATAAACACAGCAGCTCTCAGCTGAGCTGGGGAGCGCGGAGGCGCGCGCTAAAATGAGCTGACAGGTGCGTGCGTGGTGCGCCCACGCCATTCGCTCTTTGAAAGAGCTCCAGCTAGACCCATAAAACAAAGACAGGTAATGCGGAATGAATCACATCCACAATAAAAGGGAAGTTCAGCATCAGATTAGAGCGGCCCAGGCAATACAAAGAGCGACTTGCTGATAAAAAGAAGCCCTTTGCACTTCATATTTAAATTCAGCAGTTTATTAAAAGTTTGGGCTGTGAAAGATATTTGAAATATGTTTTGCTCTAAATATTACGAATTTTGTCTTTAAGGTGTGTGGAAAATTGCGTCACACTCATTGAGTGGAGCAGCGACAGAATTTTCTGGAGAAGCTGATGTGTAAATTAATATTGATCAACCTTCCATACCTTGTCAAAATCATTTACAGTATATATATATATATATATATATATATATAATGAATCAGTAAACTCGTTAATTAATAAAAAAAAGAAGAAGAAAAACAAATACCGTTATGTAATTCCCAGAATCAGACCAGATTTTAGGTGTCTATCAACTGTAGCTAACAAGGAATGTTCTTAGAACATTCTGGCAAGGTTCTCTCAAAGTTACAAACAAACGTTCTTCCAGTAACCTTAATAGAACATTTGTTCAAACTTATTTGATCTGAAATTAAAGTTTGTCTAACATCTTTTAAATGTCACTACTAGTTACAGGGGAAAAAAGTAGCGTTCCAATTCCATACAATAGAATGTTCCCTTAATGTTAACACAACATTCTTAGAACATACAATATTTTTTGTTAGATAGGTAAAGATTCCCTTCCCTACTATAACTTGATTAAAAGTCTTAAAGCACCTTGAGAGACATGCCACTCACTTTAATAAGGACAGAAATTCTACATACAAGTCAAAATGAGGCAAACTAATAAAGGTCAAGGGTGTGCGAGAGAAAAGTGGTCACTGCAACTGTTAAGGTTGGAAAGGTCATCCATGGCCATTTGGCTGTTTTTGCTGTAAATTGCTTTCTCTACTGAGAATTAGACATGCAGAGTCCCCACATAACCGTCCACTGAGGACACAGTGTTGGAGTACTGCCATTTTTGCAATGCTGATCATTTGTATTACAAAGTGATAATGTTTATCCCACAATAAGGTGGTGATTTAAAGCCATTAAAGAGAGCTGATTACAGTTTTTCTGAACTAAAGTGAAGACACAGCACAAGCAATCAATTCTTGTCATTACAGCTTTAATGCTATTTGTTACCACAAACTGTTAGATCAATACAAATGAAGAGACTTCCTGGCATATTACAGTATATACAACCCATAATGTGAAATTTCTTCCCAGCAAGGATTCACTTCAAGGTGGGCTGAAATGAAAGCTTTGTGTTTTTTGAAAATATAGGGGAGCATTCGTAATATTATATGGGAGTAATGCTGTTTTTTGTTTGTTTTTTTTCATTTCCAGGTCAACCGCAGTCAGCCTCCGTGTTTTATGGACTGAACATTTTCCTGAAGCTTCATGACAGGCAATGGCAAGAAAATGGATGAATAAGGACATTGTGTGTAAGAATGACAATGAAATATAACATAATAGTGGTGCAACATATAACAAAGACAATGGCACTAGCAGCTGGGAACAGTGGCAGGTCTCCCCAGACGCTACAGTAAATAATGAGCAATAAATATAACAGGTAATAAAAATAAACAGTTATGAATATAATGCTAAAATGAAAAATTTCAGGGCACACTGAGTACAGTTCAAAATGATAAATGCACAAGCTGCTGGTTAAGGTAGGACATAGTGCCTAAATCTTTGGCACTTATCTAACTACAGTATTTTTTATTTACTTATTTTAAGAATAAACATTTTATTTATTTATTTATTGCATAAACTTAACTAAATTACATTTCAACTTCACCTAAATAGCTTAAACTTCAGTTTAAAGCTCACTTAAATTGAGCTGCCTATGGAAGTAGTTATGCATTTCTTGTTTTAAGGATGTTTAGATATTGATACTATACAAATATACAGATTAAATATAGTATTTATACTATATTTTTGTGTATACACTGCATAATATATATATATATACACTCTTGTCCTTAAAAGGGGGTTTAGACCCCTACACCTCTCAGATTCATTGTACTATACTCTACACCAAGTGATGCAGTATATTAAGATATTGACTTTTAACACTGTATATCAAAAAGTACCCCGTTTATCCTAAACTGCCCAGAGGACAAATATAGTACGGTTGAAAGTAAGAGACAGTGCCAAAGAAATAGATCCGTTTATTGAACCCATCCATCTCTCTATAAGGCCAAGGAATGCGGACTAATTTACGTTAGCAATAAAAGCAGGGACTTTCACATTCCTTCTCTGACTCCACCGGTTTCCAAGATCTGGCAGAGGAGGCAAATTGCCCTTGTAATTCAATGACATTACCTGAGCTGCTTGAACAAGTGAGTGACCAGCAGACAAATGAGATCCATAATGAGAAGCCTCATCTTCTTCGATCTCACAGATATTTATTTACAGCCCACTTATTTCAAAGTCATCATCTCAAACTCTTTACTTTTTTTAGACCTGCCATTTAAGGCTTTTAAAATTTAACACTTTGCATTCTGAACAGTTTTTAGCTCGCTTAGCAGAGTGTGTAGTTCCAACATTGACCAGTAGGAGCTGATCCTAACTAGCCAAACCCAAGCTCCTTGAATACCTGTGGGCCTATGGAAGGGTAATCAACTTACTAATATTAGTTTTGTGGTAAGTGGCTGATAATTTAAAGCAGTCAATTTGCTGAAAATTGATTAACTCTCACATTACATCACTTGCTCACCAATGGATCCCCTGCAGTGAATGGGTGCCGTCAGAATGAGTCCAAACAGCTGATAAAAACCTCATAATAATCCACAAGCAATCGACACAACTCCAATGAAGCGAAAAGCTGCATGTTTGTAATAAACAAATCCATCAAGACGTTTTTTAACTTCAAACTGTCCTCTATCCATAATATTGCTTTCTCCATAATATATTGCTTTCTCGTCATCTCATCTGAATCAGGTGAGAAATATGCACATATGCACACCTAACCCAAATCCTAATCCTAAAAACCATTTACAAGCAAAAACAGTTCTAAATAAATATGTTGGTATGTACAGTATATATATATACTGTAAAAAAATCCATAAATAAATATGTTGGTGGATTTTGATGTTAGAAGACAACAGAGAATGGATTTATATGTTATTATTATAGATGATGGACTCAAAAAATGGCCAGAAGCAACAGTTTAAAGTTTAATGCTTTAATGATGGATTTATTTCTTACAAACATGCAGCTTTACATTTACTGAGGGACTGGAGTCGTGTGGATCACTTGTGGATTATTGTCATGCTTTTAGCATCTATTTGAACTCTCATTCTGATGGCACCTTTTCACTGCAGCAAGTGATGTAATGCTATTTCTCCCAATCTGTTCCAATCTTCGATCTTGGATGGCATGCGGGTGAGTAGATTTTTAGAAGACTTTCATTTTTGGGTGAACTATTCCTTTAAGGTTAAGTTAAAGTTGAATGATGGCTGTGGTAATTCCCTTTATCCTCTTGATCAAGAACTAAAGATGCAGTTGCTTATTAGGTATGAACACACACACATACACAAACCTGACTCTCTGGGGTCTTGAATAGTGTCTGTGACTGTTGAAAGGCCAAATCCATTCGCACTCTTCACCTATACCTCCAGGATGCTCTGAGTCACTCTTTCCTAAGCCTATTACATAACATACTTAGCAGCTTTTTCTCAAAACAGAGATTAATACAGTCAGCCGTTGCGAAGATAAAGCTCCCTAGTCGACTGCGTATACAAACAAATTCACATCATCACCAATGCATTGCACATGCCTCTTATTAGTTCCCTGTCAAACTGACTATAGTGCTATCGTATGATGTTTTATTCCTCAGGACATTTTTCAGCTTCGGCATGTGCAATAAGGTGCTGCGGTCGGCACTATAAATTGAAAATCAAACAGATAGCCAAGGCCATTAGCAGTGCTGATGCAGTCAGGGGGATAGGGAGAGTTAATTAGATGTTTCTTCTGGTGCCTACCAAGCTGGAATTCAACTCATTGTTACTCTGTCTATGTCCAAATCGGAGGCACGGCAGAATAATCGTGTTTACCTTGCCACCTTGTCGCTTATACTCGGTAACTGCATTAATTACGCCCATCAATCACTCACTGTCACTCCGTCCCTCCCTCCCTGACCTGTATGTTGCTAAGCTCTGAGAAAATGACTAGACACCTCATTATCCGATACAGGTGGACTAGGAACGTCTGATTAATGCCTTTCCATGGAAATCTCGTGGTCAAAGCTCAGCTGGGTTGAGATTCTGACAAGGTATATCCAGTTGTCATCTCTTGACGTGAGTCACCATCGACACCTGTGCCAGTGCCGGCCAGAAACGTGGTCATGTGGTAATGTGGTCAGAGCTGTAAATGTTTATAGAGAGGTAAAACATGACTGAAGGATGCATCTAAAACCCTTGAGGGACATTCAATTTAGAGTATTAACCTGGTTTCTTGATTTACTAGTAGGTTATGTGTTTCTATTTTAACCAAAAAAGTAATAGTTTCTCTGGCTGAATTGAGAGGTTATTTGCAACACAAACTCACAATCAATGCAAATTTGGGATCAGAATGTTGCAATTCAGGTTAAGAATTATTTGGGGAGAACTTTTGTGTTTCTTATGAAGTTGCATAAGCAATGCTATTTATTAGGAAAATGTTATTTATATGTTTATTCTGTCTAGGATTCATGACAGTTTGCTTTCAATCATTGTAGACAGGGTTATTGTAGTTAACAGTGTTGAGGAAAGTTACTTTTAAAAGTAATACATTACAATATTGCGTTACTCTATAAAAAAGTAACTAATTACAATACTTAGTTACTTTTTATAGAAAGTAATGCGTTACGTTACTTTTTAAATCTGGACAGGGCTTGCTTGTTTGTTTTTAAAATAAAAAAGTTCTATTTTTGGCAAATGTAAAAGCCTCTTCACACCAAAAGTGAAATGAATAAGCCTCAGGCTGAAGGGAAAGTACATTTACGTCCGTTCAGTAGAATGCAGAAGAAGAAATGTCAACACACTTCAGCAATAAAAAAAGACAGATTTTTGCTTATTAGTACGGTTGAACTGGATCATCGAAGGACAGAAGCAAAGACATCGGTTAATAGAATGGGATTAAATACATAAAGGATATTTGTGTTGTTTAATTATTGCAGGTTTGCGTCATATTCTGAGTTGCATTATTTTTATTCATTTTGAGGAATACTGAATCTGTTTTGTTTTTTGTTTTTTTGTGAGTGAGATGAATTAATGTATATTCATATTTATTTTAAAACTACAGTAACATCTGATTTCTCTCAACATGGGGACAGGAGAGCTGTCAATCAATACATTGGAAAAAAAAAGTAACTTGCGTTACTCATTTGAAAAAGTAACTCAGATATTCTCTTGTAAATTAAAAAGTAATGCGTTACTTTACTAGTTACTTGAAAAAGGTAATCTGATTACGTAACTCGCGTTACTTGTAATGCGTTACCCCCAACACTTGTAGTTAACTACTGAAATCAAATTAAATATATATAAAGACGTATTTTGTTTTAGCTAGCGGCAAGGCAACATTTATTTATTTACTTGATGTACTAAAATAACGAATTAAAATTGATATAAACTATTTAATATAAATAGACATTACAAATAATAGAAATAAAATGACAAAATCCAACAACAATACTAAAATGGATAATGTAACAATAAAAACTAATTCAATATTAATGAAAACAACAGTAGTATCTCAATTACACTAAACAACACAGTTCTTAAAGGAGTCATATTATGTTGCTAAAAAGAACATTATTTTGTGTATTTGGTGTAATGAAATGTGTTTATGCGGTTTTCACAATGAAGCACACAGCGTCTTCAGGACATGGCAGCGGCAACAATACTACAGCGAGAATAAAAGTTACGCCTTCTTTGCGTGAACATTTGGGCGGCATTATGCAAATCTTCCCACATCGTGACGTAGACATGTGGGGGCGTGTTAGAAGGAGCCGTTTTAGGTAGGTGTGGCTGACTCTTAACTTTTATAAAGAATATCTCTTTGGATTTGAGACTTTAGTCTTTGCAACTTTACAGATCTTCTTTATGCACCAAGAGCTTGTAACACTCCAAAGAGAAAGGAAAAATTGAAATCGCATCATATGACCCCTTTAAAATAAGCAGATGGGCATTTGCCAGTCCTGTGCGCACCCGCCTCTCTCATGTGTTGTTGGTTACTAAGCAACTTACGAGAGCCACATAAGCTGCGTCATTTCCTGTGTAGGGACGCGTTGGAGCAAGCCGTTCAGTCGATCACCTCCGACAGCTAGACGACGAAGACAGTCGATCTCCGTGCCGTTTTACTTTGTTTCTTTGCGCACTTATGCAACGAATCACTTTCCGACCTGTTTGATTTTTGTCTGTGGATTACACCCGGCGCACTTTCCAAAGGACTGAAGCGCGTTTCAACTTTCAGATTTTTGAGCGTGCCAAAGGAAAAGAACTTTGCGTTTTAGTTTGGGTGCCATAACCTCCAAATATGGGACGAGTGGATTAGAACGAAACGCTGAATCGGTGCTCTACTTTAAAAACTAATCAACAGGAACGCAATGTGATTATGGTGGTTGTAAAGCTTTGGATTTCTGGGCAAAGATCCTAAACTCCCTCATAAGGGATTCACTGTTGATGACAGAGATATTGGAGAAGACGCACTGGCCACTTGACTCTTTTTCGCGAGCACAAGACGCACCGAGCGCGCAAGCTTTCTGTCGGTGTTATTTGGAAGGTGCACTTTCCTGTCTAAAATCGGACTTTTTATTTACGTTTTTTTTTACGTTCTCTCTTAAGTTCTGGCTCTCACAGTTGTCGGTTTTTCCAGCTAAATTCTGCATTTCATATTTCTGTAAATTTAAAATTCTATGATGATGGGATGGGGTTTTAATGACTGTATTATTAAATTCATAATCGTATGTTATTAAATCATGTAGTGTTCATATTCCATTCCTATCTTAAGCTATTCCATCTGTTTGTCACTGTAAACTATTGATGTAATACTTATAATATACCTGGTACCACCGAATGTTGATTTAAGTAAAATTCATGCATACAGTTTCATAACAGTGACAGTCACAGTGTTATCCATCCAGGTACACATGACGTTAAATGAATGCAGCAGACATTAACTACACAACGTAAAACTGTTCTGTAGCATTTGAAATTGAAATGATTACATTTTATTTTATTTATTATTATTATTTTTAGTGTGCCTGAAGTGTTTATTTCAATTCCAAACTTATTTATTTTTTTGTTTAAGGATACTAGCCTAATTAGATGTATGTGTTTGGTTTTGTAGGTCCTCTGTGACCCGTTTGGTGTAATATTAATTATGACAGTGAACATCAAGGCATCACAGTGCCATGCGCCACTCCGCAGACTCCTGTAGACTCGGTTCCGGTGCTACTGCAATGCCCGCCGGACCCCTCCGCTTCCGCGTGGTTCTGTGATCCAGGCAAAGGGCGCGAGGATGAGCACAGACCTGGAGCGCCTGTCGCTTAACTCTTCCTCGGGAAACTCTCTGGCGTCTAGCGCGCATTCCCTTTCCGCCAATGTGAAGAAGCTTCACAACGCGCTCAACCTGCTGCTCAGCGACCTCGAGAGAGAGCAGTTCATCCACTGCCTCAACGTGTACCACTCCAAGCGCAATGTGTACGATCTGGTCCAGACGCTTAAAGTCATACTGAACGTCCCGAGCAAGCGTCAGCTCCTGCCCATGCTGCGGCTGGTTATCCCGCGCTCGGATCAGCTTCTGTTCGATCAGTACACATCAGAGGGGCTGTACTTGAAATCCGACGTTCTTGCGCGCAATGGTGACCCAGACGGCTCCCACGAGGCTGCTAATTCGAGTCCAACACACGGGGCTCACTTCTCGGCTCCTTCCGCGTCTCAAACCGCTCTGCGCGGGTCTCCTGATAACATCAGCATCAGCAGCGATGGGACAGCGACTCTTATTCCTTTACTGGGAAGAAATTTCTTACCGGGGCCGCCAGGCGAGATCCGACAGGTGACCCTCAAGCGTCACAAGAGCAACGAGGGTTTGGGATTTAGTATCCGCGGAGGATCCGAGCATGGAGTTGGGATCTATGTGTCACTGGTGGAACCGGGATCACTGGCTGAAAAGGAGGGTTTGAGAATAGGAGATCAGATAATGAAAGTTAATGACAAAGTGTTCGACCGGGTCACGCACGCAGAGGCAGTTAAGGTAAGTTTTTTTTTATGAATATGTTTTGTGTGTGACCATTTAATTAATTTAATTATTCCGTGACTGATTCAACATGTTGTTGATATTATGGTAAACCGTTTTTCTCTTTCCTTCTTTGAAAAAAAAAAATACTTATGCACCCAAAGATTTCATAACCATATTTAGATCACCTGATTCTAGCCAGTCATTTGACCACAGGGAACAGACTGCGCTCCTCCTTCTTGATTGATTATTAATGCAAGACAAGCAGCTGAAAGTGTCCCTTGAAGGACTAGAATGATAAATACTCTCTTTTATTGAGATGTGTGAGCCAGGGAGGCCTGTGTAAATGTTGATGTTATTGATCAGTGTATATTATTAGCTATAGTTAAATAATGCAGGTGGCTTGTCGATTTTGTATTAATAACACTTGATGTCACATGAAGCTTTCTAGACATACTAAGTATTTCAGTGTTTCATTGTGCTGTTTTCATTCAAAAGAAGAGCTGATTTTGCCTAATACTTCACATACTTATGACTACTATGACTAGTACTGTAATCATAATTTTTAGGAAGTAGTTGCAGCATTTTGGGCCTTGCATATGTTACTGAGATTGTATGCGCTGTCCATGGTGCTGAAACCAGCTATTTGGTATAGATTGCATTCTGTTCTGAGTTTTTCCCCCAACAATCTTACTGTTTGTCAGTTGTAGTCAGATCACCGATCTTCACATGCCACAGACACTGGTGAACCGCTTGGGAGAAACTCTAGGTGCCACTTCTAAAGGGCAGTTCTCTGAAGAACCCATTATTTTCTACTAGAAATCTAAACATTGCCAATAATAATAAGGAAAAACTTTTGATGCACTTGAAATGCATATTGAAACTCCTTAAGTGCACTTTGAGGCATCTTCAAAAACTGCTTAGACTTTCTCTAAAGGCTTCCACCTGTGTGGCAACACTTGGAAACCTCAAATGAGGCCTTAATTTTATAATTTTACAGTGATCATATTTTTAACGACATTACAAAACATGAAAGCGTCTGAAAGTGAAGATAAGGCACATCCCAAGCATATTTCAAAGTACTGGCATATAGCTAGAAGCTCCATTCCACTGATACTGCTTGTTAGACTCTCTCATATGCCCGTGTTTGGGAATCTCTTGAGTTGGTGTTGTTTGCCGAGAGAAAATTAACATGAACAGTTTGTCGCCTTTCTGTATCATTGTTTCCCTCCTTCACCAAGGGAAAACTGGCACAATTGAGCAGCAGGGTATAAATTCCTGCCACGCTGCCTTTCTTAAACAGAAGCTGGCAGAGGAGGGGGAGGCTGCTTCCTCCCAGTTAATCGTATTGATCTGCATGAGTAAATGGACAAGCCTCTCCCTCAGGCTGAACATGACCTTGACATGACTTGTCTTGATGCTCTTGTTCTCATGTAATGCAGACATAGCCTGGGTAAAGAAAGACACAAGAAATATCTGAGCAGCCAGAATGGAGAGAGATAGACAGGGGTTTTGCTAGCTGCAGACAATTTCAGCACTGTACGTTTGATCGGTGCCTTCATATGCTCCCTGAATGCTAGCAGGCAGAGTTATCTCTCATTTTTCTAGCAGAAGGAAGAACATATATTTTAACCACAGTGAGGATTTCCTCTGGGCTCTGTTGACCTTTGTGATGTGTAAATGAACCCTGAACGTTATCCGGTTTGCTTTTTCTTTCTTGGATTATTTTGGTGTTTCTTTAAGTTTTCCAGACATAAAGACCAAAATAATACACCTTTTTTAGAAGTTGTGACAACTTTACACGTTCACATGCAGCTAAAATTCTAGTTGGTGGAACTCATGGTAGAAGTAACACCGTACCCATGTCGGAATTTGCATACTCTCTCTTCATTAGGTGCTTCTCTTGAATAAGTAATTGCTCTGTGACCAATAAAAAGTTTCTTTAGAGTATGATTGTAGTCCAGACATACGGCATTCATCATGTTGTCATTGTCATATGACCTACCAGCGTCAGTTGGAATGCCATTCATAAATCCTCTCCCATGGCCTCATGGGATAGTGAAGTATCCACTAAATGTGTATTTAAGAATCTTGCCAGAAGTAGTTGGTTACTCTGGTTAATCTTTGCCTACTGTTTACTTATGAAGTTCATACTACTCTATATGAACACACTGCTCCTTTATATACTTTTTTTTTTGCCCACATTGCCCTTTAAAAATAAAGGTTCTTTATTGTCATCAGTGGTTCCATGATGAACCTTTAACCTCCATGGATCCTTTCCTTTACACAAAAAGTTCTTTATAGTGGAAATCTTTATATTTTTAAAAAGTTCTTCACATAAAAAAAAAAGTAAGAACTGATATGAACAGTTCACTGAATGGTTCTTTGGGGAGCACAAAATTGTTCTACTATTGCATCGCTGTGAATCCCCCATATGGAACCTTTATTTTTAAGAATATATTTATACTGTACTAGTAGGGATGTATGCATGTTTAGATGCAGCCACTGTTCTAACCTGTTGTCTGTCCATACATGAAAGCAAAAGAGCTGTGAGATTCGGCATAATCACAACCAATCGGAACTAATTGGAGCAAAATTTTGGACCAATGAGATTTCAGAATGGGTGGAGATATCCATTCCAGTGCAGAAATCAAAACAAAGGAAACAACAGCCGTTTTGTTGCTTTTTGTGTCTGGTTAGAATAAAAAAATCAGGTTGCTGTAACATGTTGTGTCTGGTAAGGAGGTTTGCCAGTTGAGGTTTGTGCACATGACGTTTTGGTATGAGGGCAGAGGAAGAAGTACTCTTGCAGGTGGTTGATATCATTATTTCTCTGCCTGTGTCTTCTAAACTCTTCTTGTTTGTATGTCTAGTTGTCTGTCTGACCAGCTGTCTCCATCTCTCTCTGAGTCTCCAAACTGATGAGGATGGATTGTACATGCTGTAGGTGACCTGTCCGTATCATCTTTATAGGCCATAATGAATACGTGTGATGCCCTTTGGCATCTCATGATTGGTTGGTCTATCCGCATGGCCTTCAGTGTTTGTTCACAGGGCTGCTGTGATAGCCCATATGATCAATGATCTTTCCTCATCTCCTGTTTCAAGGGTGACCCCATATAAGGGCACCTGTTAAGTGAAGTTGATTGAATTTTAATGCTGGGACTGCCAGGGTGCCTGTGGCTCAAACTTAGAGAAGGTTGCCTCTTGCCTTTGTCCTGACACTGAGAGATGATTAAGACAGAAGTGTTTACAGTCAAATGTGGCTTTGCAATCTCAGTTAGAGCCAGGCTAGAAGATTCATCACTAGACCAATACCTCTAACCGTACGTGACCACTTGTGCTGAGCTGAGCGAGCATTTTATGTGAGCTGAACAGCAAGTTCGTTTAGGCCTTTGAGATATTGACTGCAGAACAGTACATTTAGTGATAGAATCAAAAAGTTGAGAAATACTGAATGTTATGCAAATGAAAGCCGGCGAAAAACGGTGAATGGTCGTCACTGAGAGAAGAAGGCAGTGACATCTATCATAAGGTTTTTTTTTATTTTTTTTATTCTGCCATTAGTGCTAGAGAGTGCTTAAATCGCATTATTGCATTATTGCATTTGACATCTTTAAATGAGATGTCAAA